AAGAGACCGATATATACGAGAAAACCATCCATCATTTTTTGCAAATTAACTCCTGCAGAAATCTATACACGTATGGGGTTAATATTATAGTTATTTAATATTTATATATATAGTTTATAGTGTTTACATATGTTAAAAATTTAGTATATAAGTATAATATACATAATAATATTATATATATACGAGTATATTATTATTATTTTCAAATTTCCGTAATTTCCCCACATTACCGCCGTCTCTTGTATAATATAAATGTTATTTGTATTAACTTTACTTTTTTTCTTCTTAAACACATTATAAGACCCATTCCAAATAGCTGTATCTGAACTTAGAAGGATTTTTTCATAATATTTTAATGTAATTTTATTAAAAACGAAACCTATGTGCATGCTCGTACAATAATTTGCAGTGTTCAATGCACGTAAATTGTTTAGAACTCTAAAATGTCTAGTGACCAATATTTACAGACATTTTTCATTGAGACAACAATTTTTTTTTTTTTTTTTATTCTATCTGGAAAAAAAATTTGATCTTTTTTCATGACCATATAAAATAACATTTATACTTAAGTATAATACTTAGATCATATATGCAAAAATAAAACCTAACCTAACCTAACCTTACTTAATATTATACATTCTTCGAATTGCTTTTTGTGTATAAACAAATTTGTCTGTTATTTAATTCAATTTTAATTAGTTTTTTTATTATTTTTACTATTAATAGTTAAGGGTATCAACCAATATCGTACCTTTTCATTTCCGATAGCTTAATACATTTTTTTAATTAATTTTTTTTTTTTTGTATTTACTAAAGAACTCGAGATATTTGTTCCTACCTAAAGTCAACTTCAATATTAAAAACAAAATTAAAAATAGGATGTGGGATTTTATTTATGGATTATTATTCATAAGATGTTTGATTTGAATTTGTTTTCACAATTCGTTAATCCTTTGGTCGTGTTTTATGTACATAGGTATATTTTAGTATGAATATTTTTATGTTTTTCCGATAGAATATGAATTGCAACTCACTAATAATATTAGCATATAATAAATATATATTTTCATATTTTTTCATGAGTTTTCGATGGAATAATGATATGGTATGAAGGGAAATATTAATGCAATACACTATATTTTACCATTATATAATGCTGACTGAGAAAAAATATTTATCAATAAATATTACATAGAATTTCAGTGATTCAGTGTGTTTAATCATAAAACAAATTACACGCACGCAAGGAAAATATGTATGCATAATGTATACAGTTTCGAGATTTAGGACAAAATGAAATACCGATTTGTTTATTTATAGAGAAAATAATGGAACGAATATTCTCGATTTAAATATATTGTTTGAGGAAAAACAGTGATGAAGTTGATTGTGAAATCAATAATTATATGTCAAATTTTCAGCGATAATGATGTTATAAATTATTTAGTTTCATTTTACGGCAGCAGTGCAGTGTTAATTAATGATATGATATCATCAATTCACTACGAAACCCTTAAAAAAGCGGAGAACACGAAGTCATTGGATATTGTATATCATGTCGGAAATGATTCCGTGTTGTGTTCTGATAGCCGGTAAACACGAATTGGAAATTACGAACTTTTTACGATATTGCAATATCGACAATGAAAATTACATCCCACTGTCAATACGCTGTTAAAAATTGTATTTATTACTCTCTCTCATTCATTTTCGACTGAATAAAAAACGTCAATTAAACATTTGATAAAGTAACGTTTTACACATAGCCTAGTAGTGTTGTTAACAACGAAGCGACGATACTGTTCGTGTTGATTCTGAAATCTATTTTCATGCCGCTCGTATTATTTAAAATCATAAAATATTTTGGTAAGCAATTTATCACCAAAATGTCATAAAAATATTATAATCCAACGATATAGGTATACTAGATACAGTATTTTTTCATACGCGTAACGAGTAGATCGTTTTTGGTATATATTTGTTCCCACATCAAATTGTTCGCAATTATCAATAACTAGCAATCGAGTTCGAACGGGCTTTTCGTTTTGCTTTTTCTGTGTGTATAATCGATTCGAATACCAACCGCTAATTCACCAGTCGTTAAATCACGAAAACAACCAAAATTTTGAATCTGAAATTCGTTGTATAATAATTTGAAAGTAACAATTGCTCCTAAAACCAAAAATTGTAAAACATCTCCCACGTTTCAATTGAAATCACATCGTTTTCGATGAACTGTGTAGGCTGATTTTTTTTTCACGCGTTTTGTACGGTGCACGAAAACGCAGTGGCAATGTTTTACATTACCGTTATTACAACGGTTTGAAACAAAGCGAACAATAATAAATTCAAATAATCTGACGAGCTCCCTGTTTGTATTATAATAATATTACAACGTGGGATCCGATCGGCCTTAACAATATACGTACGGGCGAATAACATTATGTCGATACGGGATTACACGACCGTGTGACGCGACACGGTTACTGAATAAATTTTGACACGCGTCAAAAGTAGCAAATAACAAAACTATACGGCGATAATGATAATATTATAGACAGCAATAATGTTACATTTACACAACCGTTTACGGGAATGTAAGTATTTCGATGATCGGGTGTATCGATATGCTTGCGTGCGTTGGCCATCGATTGTACACCGGACCAGGGCCGACACGATTAAAAATTTTAATGAGGAGTTTATAAATTTGCCGACTGCTACCTAAAATGAAACCATACAATGTTAATATTACTTCGTTTGTTGATGGTTGCCGACCGTATAAGTAGGTCATTCATAGGTGAGAGGGTAGTTATTGCACCCCTCAAAAACCTCTAATGAGCTTAATGACCCATAATCATACCAGTGGCGGATTCCAAAACGTCCATATCACCGGCAATCGTTATTTTATACATCATTTTTGTTCGTCCGCAGCCACTTAATTCATTGGGTGTTGGATGCATTTTAACGCGATGGCAGTTCTGTGATGGTTTTTTCGTGAGTTTTCGATTGTGTGGTACACATTAGACCTTGTCGGTTTCTTCCCTCCTGAACGCGATTCGTCTGCTTGCGAGGATAGTGTTCCATATGGGGGAGGGACGTGGGAAGGTTACGATTTGAAGGAAATATTTTAAAATCTGTGTGTTAGAATATAATGTGCGAACGGTGAGTGCTCATGGGCCAGGTATAATATTTGATAACAACGAGGAGCGTGAAAATAGTAATGAGAGCTTAAAGGATTTCGTTTAACGTTCGAAGGAAGTAAAACGACGTTGTAGGCTGGCGGAATAATTATACAGCGAGTACCTCGAAGGGTCGGGGTGATGATCGATCGCTTCGATTATTTTGAAACGTTTTAACGTTCAACGTATTTGTCGGCAACGAACTCCGTGTTGTGCGATACAGGGATATCGAACGGAATGTCCAAACGGTGTAGTTGAGCGGTACCGGTTCATCAGTTGTCGAAACGGGCCGACCAATCAAGTTCTAAAACAGACGATCTCGATGTTCATCACAGGGCTGTGCATTTGACGAGTTAAATGACTGTATAAGATATACATGCAATTATACGAAGTAACTGACGAAACGTGCGGTAAAAAATCGAAATTTTGGATTAAAAACCACGGCTCATTTAGCCGCCACAGCTCTTTGTCCGTGTTCGCCGTATCGGTTTAGCGAACGCGTGCATTGTACCCAGGACGTCCTTCCCCAAGTCATAGTATGACTAATTATAAGGAACAGATAAAAATAAATAAAAACCAGAACAAATAGTAATGAAAGTATTTATTTTACAAATTGTTAAAATACTATTGATTTATTAATCGACATTAAATTAATGGGATGGAGAAGCAATATCACACAGCCACTCTCGTTTCCTTTCCCACATTAATTTTCGTTCGATACTTTATCACAGCTACCACCGAAAACCCAGCTTCGCACAAATTGAAAACGAAATTAAAATACGTCGAGCCTTATCACTTATCACTTATCAGAGATATTCATATTTTATCGGAATCCGAAATCCAGTCAATTCCATGCTGCTGAATTTCGCTTTCAAACTATTGTCGCGATGCAACTCAATAAGACTTTCTTCTTAGGTAGAAATAAATTCAGATGGAGCAACGGTGTTGAATAGATCTTGAATCCGTGTAAATTTATCAACGTTTTCGTTTTGAAAGTATTTCTCAAACCAGATGACGAGTCGTAAAAAGTGATCTTCATTGATGGATCTTGATACGTTTCGACTTCGTTTGAGGTGAAAAACTGCTGCGATATGAAAAAACAAAAATCCTCGTTAGTCCGTTTTATCTTAATCGACTTCAATCATAACCGTTTCCATCGTGTCACCCTGGTGTCTGTATTTTGGGAACCGCTGGTACGACGTGTACGCGTTAACGCGGCGAAACGATCATCAGTCGACCGGGGGTGGGGGGGGGATCGGACAACACACCGACGACGTTTATTGCCATTATTACCATTATTACCACTATTAGTACAACTATTATTATTGTACGATCACCGGACTCCTGTGACGGCTCGCGAACATGTTCGTACGTCGGGTACGCAAAACGCATGTGGTACAATGTGACGCGTCTCGACGGAACGCACGTCAGATAGGTGACGAGATAATGATGACGTTGGCCGGCGACCGTTTACCGCGTGACGTGCCCGTCCGGTACCTTTTGTCGCGCGGTGAAAAGCCCCCCCCCCTCAGTGGAGGGATGGTGGGGAAGGGGAAACGCGGTCGAGACGCCCGTGAAATCGCGCGCGACACACCGAGACCTGGTCGGTCACTCGGTCCGGTGTTCCAGTCGGGCACGCGGTACCGTCGTGACAGCACCCACGCCCCCGGGTGTCCTGCGCGCGCGTTCCGTCGCCGTAATGTCATCGCCGTCGTCGCTTGCCCTGTGCCGTGTCCTGCGCGCCATCCGCCATCGTCGTCGTCCGCGTTGCGACCATTATGTTTATTGTTGCGATAATGTTTTGGAATTTCTTGATGGCAGTGTTGAACTTCTTCCCGGTGCCGGTGACCGAAGAATGCTTGTCCGACGACTCTCGGAGAACAGGTAACTAACGCAGACCGGCCGCTCCTCGTCAGAGGTGGAACTAGAAATCTTTACGCTCGGAGAAAATGTTAAGATCGCGCCCTACCAATAATCGAATACTATTCTGGAGAATATTTTTGCTAATTAACGTACAATTGTGCTTATTGAGTTTTAACCTGATATTGGTATTCAACAAAGTTAAAAATATTGAATCAGTTGTTAATAATTACAAAAATTACACCTTCTGTAATTTTACGCCCGAGAAAGAATCTGCGTATTCCACCTCCTAGTTCCACCCCTGTTCCTCGTGGTCGGCGGGAGCGCAAGCGCGCCAGGACCGCACCAGTGCGTTCCCGCTGACCGTGCGGACACGTCGAGATGGTCTCGTGTACCAATCATCCGGACGTTAACGTTTCTCTCGCTCATTAGGTCTGTGCCTGAACGCGTACGAGTGCAGGATCCAGAACGGCGAGTCCCACGGCGCCTGCGCGCTGGGTTTCGGAGTCTGCTGCGTATGTAAGTATCCACTATATGTAAGCATCGCGTTTTTCTATCGTAACCTATTTATTTCGCTTCGGCGGGGGTGAGGGGAGGGGGTTAACACGTATACGAGCAACATTCTCTCTTTCGCGCCTAGTGGAACCGAAACCTCTTCATACGGAACACCGTATCGATGGATGTGACTTTCCCCGTCGAACTGTGCGCGTGACAAAATGTCTGCGTTTCTTTTTTCCGATTAAAAATATACGAATAAAGATGTAGATAAGGAATTGTAGAAGATAGAGAGTCCGGGATAGTGATGATTGGCGAACCGTGGTGACCGAAATTCTTACGGGACCATAAAGCCAAGAAAGAAGGAAATCAATAATGTAATCGTGTGTACGGATTACGGTTTCGTTGCCGTTGATAATTGACGCGGTGGATTTGAAATTTTATTTCTCCTTTCCTTAACTTTTTTTCCGTCCACGGGTATTCGCGATACTATTTATGTGACGTGTATTTAAAAACTAATGCACGTGCTATCGTGCTATACGTCTGGTGTGATTTTCCGCAGTCACGTCGTCGTGCAACGCTGAGGTGTCCAACAACGTCACGTACTTCGTCAACCCCAACTTCCCGGGACTCTTGAACGACGTGGGCGAGTGCTCGTTGAGCGTCAAGAAGATATCCAAAGACATCAGTCAGATACGTTTGGACTTTGTCAACTTCAATCTGGTAAGTAGCGCGCAGCGTTGTGATCGCGCTCCACGGCGGTGTAACCGCGATCTCAATGATTTCAGGCGCAGCCCAACAGGAAGACGGGCGTGTGCGAGACGGACACGTTCGTCGTCACCGGTGGCACGTCCAACGACGTGAGGATCTGCGGCCTCAACAGCGGCCAGCACGGTAAGCTAAACTAACACGGATTCACTCGGCGCGGTCATTGCGAATACCTACGCGTCGGGCTTGATGTGCTACGGGGCGTATCCGATTTCGGAAACAAAGATGGATAAGCGATTTTATATTCGGTCGTTATTCTGAACGCGTCCGATTGCCATTGGCGTATTAACGATCGGTTAGCGGAATGTAAACGAACGAACGGCGAATTTTGTTGGATCCGCCGTTCGTTCGCATTCGCCCCGTAGCGTGGCTTTACTGGTAATCGTATTACGGTGGACGGTCGCGATGATCATATTATAACGCCGCGTGCACCGTTACCGCAGTGCAGGACACACGACGAGGTGGTATGGGATGAACCCGTATCCTACCGTGTGTGGGTTAATGAAATACGCGTTGAGGGCAGGGCGGAAAGCGCTTTCTCTTATTAAGGGTGACCATACCGGAAACGAATCCGATGCGTTGGCGCGAATCGGACCGGAAGCGTACGCGTTTTGCCGGAATAACGATGACGATCGTCCTGCGTTACGGATATATCCAGGCCAGGTTAGGACCAGGCTGGGAGTGCGGACGGGGAATGGCCGCTGTAATCCTCTAATCGGTGTACATTACGAACTCGTTACGAGGGGAACACGGCCGAGAAAAATTGTTATGGACGACCGTCACGCGCGATTTATTTGCCGCTCCGTTTCCTGTACCGCCAACGGCATTCCGACTGATGCACGTGCAAAATACGTCGTTAGATGTTCTTCGAGATGGAAATAACGATTCGGCCGATTCGACCGTCATTACGTATAGATATGTTTTGTTGTCAAATCCCTGAATTCAGCCTCTTCTCGTCCATTCCTGCAGAACAAACGTTTTGCCGACTATGAAATATATCCGCGCAGTCAGCGTTTCAGCGTTTCGTGTACTCGTAGGCGCCGTTAGGATAGGACTTACGATGAATTACGATAAGGGATGGAGTACGATACACGGTAAATACGCATTAATTAATTGTACTGGAATCGTATTGCACATGCACGATAAACGTAGTAGTGATACTAACATAAATGATATTGCAGAAAACACTAAAAAATGTATTGAAAATAATATCGGAAATCTCGCGTAATACCAGTGACGTCTTAAATTATTGTTCCGGGAATAATTTTTTTTCATAATTAATTCCAATAAGGTTTAAAATAAAATAAATTTTCCAAAAATTTCTTGTTTTTTAAATTTTTTTAATAAAATCTAAGGGGGTGGGTTGTATAACCGTTGCGCACACAAGTACGAGTATTACAATATACTGTTCTCGAGCGCGCATCCGAAAGTGGTGTGTTATAATATTATGGCCCGTGACTTCTTAGTGTCGCGGTAAATAAGCTTTTTATTTTTTAAAATAACAATGTTATCGAAAACGATTTCACAGTTTACTACGACGTGGACGACGCTAAAGACGCCGTGACGATCAACATCAGATTAACCAAAGCCAACTACAACCGAATGTGGGAGATCAAGGTGAAGCTGAATGGATATTCTTAAAAAGCACAACCGTCGACAGGTCGTGTTTGTTGCATACACTAACAGTTGTTCGTTTACAGATCACTCAGATAGAGTTTGCCCAACGAGCGCCAGCCGGGTGCCTTCAGTACTTCCAAAGCGCGACGGGCACCGTGCAGACGATGAACTTCGCGATAAACGGCCGGCATTTGGCCGACCAGGACTACGTGATTTGCATACGACAAGAACAGAGTAATATTCTATACAAAGTTACATTTAGTATTGGGAGAGGCGCATTAACTTGTCAAACGAAATCGTTGTAACTTTTTTAATTCGATCAGTGTACCATTCAACTATAAGATACCTCCCGGGTGGTTGAAAATAATTAACCGTATCTCGGTCAATGTTGAAGTATAACCGTTTGCATTTTACGTATTCGCAAACGTTCATTAAATCGTCATAATATTTGAAATCGATCGATATTTGATCAACTACGCTGGTAAAATAGCGTAAAAAACACACGATCGTTTTCTACGCGGTCCGGGTGCCCATTAAAAATCAGTTTAATCTTGTGTTACGTATTCAATTCAAGCTTACAGGGTTCGAACTATTATTTGCTTACTAAATCGTATAATAAACAACGGAAACTCAATGTTTTCTTGCCGCTTTGGTTTAGAACAAACACAAAATTAAAACGTCTCGTCATCAACAGGCAACCGTTTAATGTAAACGTTACGCTTTTACTCTTCAAACTAATCATGTCGTATTACGCGTTGCAGGTATGTGTTCGATCGTGTACGAGCCGTGCGACGAGAATTCGTTCAAAATCGGTCCGCCCATATTGTCCGGTAAGTTTGCGGCCCATATAAGCTATTGTTGTATATTTTATGTGAATTTTGATTTTTCGCGTACTGCAGACGACGCGGTCGAAGGGTCGGGGGACGACGGTACCGACGGCGGAAGTCAACTGGTGTCCATGGACACATTCCGGGAGTGCACCGACCGCGTCATGATGCCCTGCGATTTCGAAGAGTTCATAACGGTGAGTGAACCCGCAGGGTTGTTGCTTTTTCCAGATATAGCCGTGAAGCCGAAACTAGTTATTGGAACATGCGCGTTTTCCTTGTTCTACGCTCGTCGTTCGTAAAGCGGACTAAATATTTATTTGTTTTATTTACCCATTTAATACGGAGCCGCATTAAATAGGCGAGCAAGGTGTTCAAATAACAAGGGTGGCCGAACATTTTGGGCGGCTTGATAAATCGAATCACAGAAAAAATGAACATAATTATAATTTATTGTGAACATAATATAAAACACGTTTTAAGCAATAACTGCAAACAATTTCAATAACATTTTTAAAGTTTAACAAAATTCTGGACACTTCTCGGATATCGAATTTGGAGGGGCGTAGCAAATTTGTTTGTATAACATAAACGGCCAAATAGATCAGAGCAAACCTGATGTGATATAAACGGACGTCAGTACTAGAAAATAATATTACAAATATTGCGCGTAGAAAATAACAAGCATAATACAATAAATTAGTCATGGGTATTTAAAATTCTATTGTAGATAATAAGCAAATACTTCGAAGTAAACATATAAATCGATGAAAACAAGAATCTATTAATTATAACCAAAAACACATGTGTTACCTGCAACCATTAGAAGTTTAGCTTAACACATCATTTTTATTTGTAAATAACAGACAATAAGGTTAAGAATATCTAGTATTAGGGCTATTAATTATTATTAATTTTAAAGCAGATTAAAGAAAGTATTTCATAATAATCAATTGAACCTAATAACGGTTTTTGAAAAAAAAATTTAAATAGTAAAAGTTTACAACGATAAGAAAGCAAAGAAATACTAAGAAATTTTAAATAATTGTTATATGAGCCATGAAGAGGTCATTAGATATTGAATTTAAGAGGTAAAAGGTATAAAACTATTTTGAACATATTCTAGCGTAAGATATTATTAAAATATTGTACCAGCTTATTATAAATATTATTTCGGAATAATAATTTGTTTCTATTATGACATTTTTTGTTTATTTTTTTCCTTAGAGGCTTGTTTTAAATTTAAAATTGTTATTATCCCATTGATCGATATTAATAAATTAACCTAAAAGAATTATCACTAAATGGAACTGTTAAAGAATGTTACGACTAATGGCAACGACAAAATAATATGAAAACTAATGTCAACAATATCACGATCTCGTGATTCGTGGTGTAATCGGTTTCGTCCCTGTTTAAAATCTAATCACGTTTTATTGCCATTTGAAATCGAATGTGACGAGGTAACTATTTTATATGATGTACTCCCGTGTACGTACGCTTCATCTGAAAGTATACCAATTCCGTTAGATATTTTTAGTATTTAATCTTATCGACCGTGTACGGATATCTACCGTGTGTTACTTTCCGATAGGAATTTTCCGAATACCCGAACTTACATTATAATCGAAGTTGTGATTGTCAACCGCCAAACGCGGATCGCCCAGAGTTTGTTTTCAGCAAAATTTTTACTTTATTCGAATTTGAGAACGTGATTAGTTTTGTTTTGAATATAAATTACACGGGACGTATATATGCACGAATATCTGTGACACAAACGCAGATAAAGTTTTCCCGCCGAACGGTTACGAATACGATCCGCGCCCCGAACCAACATCACGATTACGCGACGGTCGAAAAGACATTAGTACGCGTTCCCCGACACAGACAGAAACCTAACCCAACCCCAAGTCGCTCTTCCGATAGCTCTCTCCTGCGCGAACCCATTTGCGAATTTATCACGAAAACAAAATAATCACACGTTCGTATAGGTTAGCAGTAAAGATGACGTGTGAAAGTGCACTTAAAAAAACGTATACTGTTTGGAATACGGTTAGAGACCGGGAATTCGGCACTCTTATTGAGTGGACTTTCGTAATTTATGAATTTTTTTCAAACCCTCACGCTCCATACGCTTATACATTTTTACATTTTTTCGGTGTACATTCCCACTCGATGCGATACAATATGACTAGACTTTCCGTTCGTCCTGTTCAAAACCCAGAATGTCCCGGCCGGTCCGGTTAGTAAAACGTAGAATATTATTGTGCACTATATCATTCGTCTATGGTTATCTAAATGACTGGATCTCATCGGTATGGTTACGTACAATAATCATGTGCGTTTATATTAGCCAATAGATAAATCGCGAAAGGATATTCTTATTTTCTTATGAGCGTTAAATAAAAAAAAAAGTTGTTCAGTACGATGTCCCGGTTTAGCGATTTCAAAATCTGGCTACCCTAAGTATACAGGTATAGTAGTTTAGGGATTGCGCTGCGCATAACTCAATTGCTGAGCATGTAATAATAATGTTAATAGTAAAACAATAATTGTACACGCACAAACCAAACATTTACACAAACGCTTTCTACATCCCTTGGACAACGGTCGACGAAGCGTTAGTATATATTATTCTGTACCTCAAGCGATTATCCACCCCAATCGTTCGTCCATCGTCCGGTGGTCAGAATCGTGCCCCGTGAGCGATTGTTGCTGATGCGCCCTTCGAGGTTTTGCATATTTTCGATATCCGTAAATAATAATAATAATAATATTTTCGATATCTGATAATATATTATTATTATTGATATTCTAACCGAATGTTCCCGAAGACCGTGTGCTTGATATATGCTTTTTATTCTCTTATTTTCAGCCCCAAGGAGGACCTGGTGTTTGCGATCTACTGCACTGCGGCAACAATTTCTGCACGGACAAGGAAACGCCGTGCCGGATTGAAAGTGAGTAAACAATATTATCTGTATAAAACAAATATTGATAAGTTATACATGACTGGGGTACGAGACTCGGGAGCGTTTAATCGTTCCGTCACGAAACGCGATACGCGCAAGCTGCAACACATAATAGGATGGGAAAATTATTCGTTTGTCCGATGGAGAAAAAGGTTTTTACTTAAAATTCGATTTCACAAATCAAGATGCCAACATTGTCTAATTTATTTCATTGCAATCACGTCTGAAGATGCTTATGTTTTAATATATATATATATATATATACATATAATGTTGTATTATTCAATGTATTGTACATAATACCACAACAATAAATGAAAGAGAAATCAAAATGTATCAAAGTTAATATTTTGAAAATCTCAAGTGGTGATTATTGTATTCACAACTCAGATGAGCGCTGGACTTAACTGTTTCCTTAACTGTCTAAAGTTTAACTCATGTTCAAAAATTTATCAATCTGGCCTAGATTGTAGAAAAAAAAAGACTTTTATCTGTTATCTTTTCAATTTCAAGTGTTAATGGTCAGACTTACATGACGGGATGGTTTGATAACGACTGCATCCGAGTTGGGCTCCGAAAGCAAACATTTTTTTATAGTTGGGTCACAGATTGTTTCCACTTCGTGCAACATGCAGTGATAATTTAAAAATAGAAAGTAGACAAATAATTTCTAACGTAGGCGTTGCCATCTTAGGGGATTTTTAATTTCGTTGGTACGATTTATATAAACGGTCGCTAAGAGAGGAGGAGGACGAATATTTTGTCGCGTTCATTCCATTATATGTATTGTTGTATTGTATGTGTTGGATCAAATCAAAAACAATATTCCCTCGACATTGGCGAGAAGTGGAGTATCTAACTATGGCTTTATGGCTTTTACATCGAATAACTCAGTCACCAAAAAGGCTTCAACAACTTCTCGCGAAATCAAGAAATCTATTGGAAACACGTGAAAATGGAGATTGATGTCTGATGCAGACGTCAATTGTGCCGGATGATTATTTCGTTAGCAGAAAATCACTAGTTTCAAAACGGCCGCCGATCGCACGTATTTTTTGCGTGATTATTAAATAATAGAAAATTCGAAATAACAGTTTTGATTGTTATTCCCGCGTGTTTAAATGTTCATAAAGAACGTTGAGCAAAAAATTGGTTGGTAAACATTGTCGTGGACTGTTGAAACGGGACCGTTTCCTAATGGTTTTTCGTGCAGTACCAAAAAAAAAAAACAGTCCGGGACCCGAATAGGCGTAGCGCGCAAAACGATTTCGGTGCGGTTCCTTTGATACCTGTCGAGCATAACCAACTCGTCTCGATTCGGCTAGGCGAATAATTTCGATATCAGCTATTGCGTTAAACGTCTCCGCGGAGTCCATTAGATCACGTGGCACAATCATACCGTTCGCGTTTAGCTATCGGTTGTTGCGTTCCACGGTAAAAATGTCTTCCGAATCGCGACCCTAGTAAACACTAAATTTTTTTTTTTTTAATATAATACATTCCAAACTTAATTTTGATTTCCATTTTTATCAAGACTTAGGATCGTTCGTTACGGCATTAGGTTTGTATTCAATTGAATATATATGTTAAACATAAAAAGGTTTATTGGCGGTAGTAAAGCGACAGCTAATGAGTATTTTGTTGTCTGCATTACACCGTCATTATATTATATACGTTATTATTTTATCAGTCGAGATTGATAGTTATATTGAAATGATAAAGATCAACGTGTTATAAACCAATAATAAACATGATCGATGGCCGTCGAACGGGGTAACGATAATATTATATGTGTACGGTAGTTGTGGCCGCTAGTGATGGGAAAAATCCGGATTTCCAGAAGTTTGGAAACCAGGATTTTTGGAACTCGAAATCCGAAAATCCTAAACCAACAACAAATTAACAATAAATAAACTAACAGCCACTAACAATAAATATCTTAATTACATAATATATAATATATTTTATTCATATTTAAATATTGATGATCGATTTTAAAATTAGGATGGTTTTATATATATTATATTGATTATACCTAGAATAACTCAACTAGGTGTTTAGTAGATTAGTTAGTACATGGTGAAATAATTTGTTTTAAACAAATAATTTTATAACCAGAAATTTAGATTTTTAAGTCCAAAGAGCTAAAATAAGGATTTCTAATTCCGAAAATCCGGATTTTCAAATAATTTGGATTTGTTTCACATTACTATCGGCTGCAACTGTACCCATCTAAAAGTAAAAAAGAAAAAAAGACTCGGACCGCGATTAGGATCGGACCTTTTGTCGTAAATAGCTTTGGAACGCGACCAACACGCAGCTTTGTGGTGTGTAACAATAATATGAACGCGTGTGCGTTTTTTCACAGGCAGTACCACGCCGTTCGTGATGCGTGTGCAGTTTGGGCCGGGCAACAGGGAAGAAAACCCCGAGGACAACCTGGGCATGTGCATCAGATACGAACAGCAGCAGTGCTCGACCTGACCGACGAAAACCAACGGATACCTCGTCTCGTCTTGTGTCTAACGCAATTAAAACTTTGTATTTTTTTTTTTTTTTTTTCATTCATACGTCCTCTCGGCGCAACTACCAAAATACCGTAGATCTAATATTTACATACTTCTGATCCGCGCGTAGACGAACAATCGTAGCTACGTTTTAAATCATTTAAAATTTATTCAAAACACTTACCTGGACCGTAAGCTGACCGGCTTACGTGCACTTACCTGCGCTGCCGTCCGGTAGAACGGTCTCTGGAGGGTACGCGGCGAAATGTTTACGAGCGATGTGCGAGCGACGTCCGCTTTTTTTTCCCTTATTTTTTTAATAATGCAACCCCTCGGTAACCGTAAAACAGTCGACCGTTGTTACCACGTAACAGGTTTGGTGTTGCTCGTGCAAACGGTGTACCGTAAACGTTCGACGATCGAATTTTCACGGACGGACGACGTTGTTCTTTTGTTCGCGATCGAAAACGCGTGTGTCGAACAACAACACCGTCCGTCGTACGTCCGTCGACGCTCGTCGAATCGTTTGCCGGCGTCATCGCATTTTCGCCCAGATCATTGGCGCAACTAGGTCTAAAACATTGGGGGGGGGGATGAAGTCCTATAAATAAATTTAGTCAATGTGAGCTATGGGGAGCAAAGCCCCCTATACCCCCCATTGCCGCAGACACGGAACAACAATTATTAATTGAAATAAAAACAATTATAAAATATTATTACCATACTATATTATTAAAAATCATGTACCTTCTTCTATGTAGTATGTTTTACATAAAATATAACATAACACTACCGTAGTATTCCACCGTCGTCTGTCACATTTATTAGAAAACAATATTATTATTAACTATGTAGGATTGTAGGAATTACAAAATTAACTATAATAATAATATTTTATATTTATACAATTTACTTTTGAATAATTTTTTGCGTCATATACTCATATTATTTAGTATGTATCTCACTATCCCGTGCTTAAATTATCATTGAATTTTAAATAATCAAAAAATTTGAGGGAGCTATAATACATTTGGGGGGCTAAGCCCCCCCCCCTATTTGCGCCAATGGCCCAGATCCAGAGTATATTTTATGTAATTTTCATTGCATGGCGCTTTAATTAAATTGTCTACTAGAGAAACATACAAGGAAAATAACAACTCCTGTCATTACGGCCGTTATGAGAACGTGTTGGTTAGTGGTGGCACTATAACCCACCACCGGGTAGCATTCAATCACCACTGGGGTGAAACTAGTGCCACGTGATTTGTATGTTAAAATATGCTCTGCCCAGATCTCACGTAATCTTGTGCTTACAGCTGTACACGTGTCGGACGTCGCTCTGCGCTCGGGACTCGGATCAGAACGTCGGCTACTCGAAAACATATGTAGATTAACCTGTTTAATATATATTTATTTTTTTTTTTTTTGTTCATTAGATCGTAATAAAATATAATTTAATACAATGCTGTTTTTATGTTCCCCCCCCCCCCGACCACTGAAGTCTAACCTAACCTCTCTCCGCCACTCCTCCACACTTAACTTACCAAGCACTCTGTTACGATTACACTAATGCGCTTTTTTTTTTTTTCTGCGCACCCTGTACAACGTTGTCACTGGTTTACGGTCGAAATGTTTGATTTTTTCTTTGTTTTCGTTACGCCGTCGGCTAAAAATTCACAATACGGTTTGACCGGTCGCCGTTGTACGGCCGGTACGACCTATCGGACGGCCGTTTAAAACGTAGCATTTCGTTCGTATGGTGAACGCGGTTTGTTTGTTTGTTTTTTTTTTTTTTTCAACCAGAATAATATTGTCGATAGCAATCAATACAGGAGGCCCGAACAAACGCGCACGCTGTACGACCGTGCGCTGTTTTCGCGTTTTCACCGCGTAAACACGCAATGCTTGAAACGTATAACGTACACGAACGCCCGGCGTTACGCGTACCGTACAGGTGCGGTCGTTCTCTGTTTTTCCTGTACACATTTTCGCGCACGCATTCTGCGGTCTTCGAATTTCGGGTTTTGGGAATTTGGAGTGCGGTTCAAATGCGGGTGGTTAATAAATTATACACGGTCACAGTTTGAACGACAATGATGTAATAAAACTTAATAAAGAAATAACATAAAAACAACTTTAAAATCACAACCAGGGAACGTAAAAACGAATGTCAAAATACAATAAAATATAACCGTACCTATTATTATAACGTATACAATTAACGTAAAAAAAAAAAAAAAAGGAAAATTAAATAAAGTGAACAGAAACCGAATATTTACTATAAAAAAATAATAACATTTTTGATTATAAATAGATAATAGAATTATCGTAATAACATGTTCGTATCGATGATAATAAAATTAATTCTAAACAAGTATAAAATGTTTCAAATACAATGTTTAAGTGTAACTTTTAATACGTAATATAATAATTTATTTTTTCCGTAAACATTAAGAACGACATAATATATGTTTTACAATATATATATATATATATATATAAACGAGAATATTTTGTATCCTTTTTATCGAAGCGAATTATTTTTGTCTAATTAATTTTTGGTGCATTTAAAAAATGATCATGGCTAATACGCTACGCGTAAATAATCTACTAGAATAATTGTTATGTACAGAAAAAATATTTGTAATCAATTAAACATACCATAATGTATCGAAGCATAAATAATATATTTAATTACCGCATATGCACGTAGTGTACGATAAATAAAATAATATAACTTATGATCAATGTATTTTTGTCGAATAATATTAATAATAATAATAATAATAATAATGTGTTGTAACGTAGTTGTTGAATAGAAACAAAATAATTCTGTGCAACACAAATCATAAATATATATAATATAAACAATATACTTATATACACATAAATATATGTATGTGTACATATGTATAAATATAATATATATATGTATAGCTTATTATTTATTTTATTTATTATTAATATATATATATATATTTTTTTTTAAGTGAGCAAATTTTTCTCTGTAAAACCGAATGAATCACTCAAACGATGTTTCCGTTTAAAGAAAAAAAAAAGAAATAAAAAATAAAAATTATTATTGTTTTGTTCTGCTGTTTCGTATTCAACGACACGCGTAATACATGGGATATGTTATATATGGTACAATAAAATATTATTTTTCAGGAACGGATTGCACGTCCACCACCTCCGCCGCCGACAGTCGATCGTTTGACACAAGACCAGTAGTTTGTTTTTTTCCGAAAAAACCAAAAATTGAATTAAAAAATAAATTTGATTAAAACGAATAAACCGAACGCGATGAAACAGCCGCCACGCGGTAAACCGTATCAAAAGGGAAATCGAGCACATCGCGTAAACGTCGGACTCGTTCGGTTGGTATTCAAAATGATTTTACGAAACACTTACGTCCGTTCCCCTATTTTAAACGATTTCACCATTTTTCCGACGTATTTTTTCGGACTCGTATTCGTATGCAACAAGGTACATCAATTTTCTACAGTAATATAATAATAATGGTATTTTTTTTTCACCACATTTAGTGGGACAGTGGCACAGTATTGTTATTTTTCGATTTCGTGGCAACGGCCGACGAACCACCGACGGGGATAAGATAAATTTATCGGTATAATGTAAACGTGGGCAATTCTCGGAAAAATATTTGAAAAGTATTTGAAATACTTCTTAGAGCGTTCCAATAAACGAATTCGGGATACGGTTTTCGTATGAAGTATTCGAATACACTTAAAAATTACTTTATTACTTATTATTTTTTTATAAGTATTCATTCTGATTACTTTTAAAGAGTACCCGAGTCTGATAAACGTATCCCGACCAAACGGGCGTGCGGACGACGAGCCATTCGTTCCGTTTGCCGCGATATCGTATATTGCAATGCAAATTAAACGTATCAAAACGAAATCTTAAACAAAAATCATGCGGTGTAGAAAGAATAGTCGGTTCGACGAGAAGAGTGGGGACTGCGCGGTAGGTAACCGGTAATATATATTAGTTGTAGCCTGACAAATAGTCCGATTTATGCAAAGTTACAGTTGCATTCCTACGGAGAGTAAGATACTGCGTATGGAACGATTTTCTTGAACTTCTCTCGTTGCGCAAACTGCAATAATACATCACATAAATATTCATAACTCAAAAGGTACGCAAACTTAATAATAATAATAATAATAATAGTTAATGAAAGGATATCGTATTGCTTATTACGATAATGCAGGGTGGAGGCCGTTACTTGCTCTATTGCAACTCGAACGTAGTCGTTGGTCAGAAATTTCATGCAAACATCTTTCTTGGTCGTGTTTTGGTCGTTTTTTTTTTTTTTTTTTTTTTTTTTGTGCGGTATAATATAATATTAAAAATTTGTACATCATGACGGGACGGGAGTTTCTCTCTATAGATTATAATAATTTAACGATAATAATAGTAGCAATAATAATAATAATAATAATAATAATAATAACAATGATAATAATATAATTACGCACATATTATAAATAAATGCCTACTGCCGCCGCCGAATAATAATATTTAATACGATATACTCGCGGTATACGAGTACATCGTACACGGGTCGTGTTTTTTTCTTTTTTTTCTTTTTTTTTTTATAGTAAAAACGATGAAAAGAAAATTATAATATACGATGTATGATAATAATTATAAATAATAGTAGTAAAAAAAAAAAAAATATTTTGATCCTCGATTTCCACACGTATTTTAGAATAAACATTTCGCTTCCGGTAGTCCACCGTTTCGGAGGACGTGTTCTCGCGTCAACTGCGAGCCGGCACAGCGGACGCTTTACGTTTTCGTGGCCGATTGTTTCCTCGCTCCGCCGCCGATGCCTGACGATATGACCGTTTCAGCTTTCACTCCGACGCCGTTCGGGTTCAACGTCATCGCCACACCGACTGCAGCACATGGAAAATAACGAAAACACATGGATCAGTACGCGGCAGAGCTGTGCACGAGAAAACGCTTGAGGTCTTCGGGCAGGCCTTCGTACGCAACAGGGAACAAATACGGTTAGGTGCGCGCCACGGGGCTGCTGATATCATAGGCCATACTAAAGCTATAAGTACCCACAGAGGCTACAACCCCGCACTTCAGTTTGCTGATTTACTTACAGACGAAATTTGTCGCCGCTCACCACTAAAGGTTCAGTTCAGATTTCAGCAATATGACGAAAAACCGCGATTTCGTGAATCGAATTTTGATTTTGGATGTTCCCGCGCAAAGCGAAAGCCATAATACACCGAACAACAAGAACGGTCAAACTTAATAATTGTTTTGCGTACAGATTACTAGATTTTAATTCGATCTCGAACACAAAATTCTGAGATCCAGTGTTCGTATGTAATCTGGTAGGACTATAAAAACATAAAGGAGGCTAAGCCTCCTAACCTAACCTAACCCTCTCTCAAGCTTCCCACAGCTGTGTTGGTAATCCGTTTAAAGGATTGCGGGCTAAACGTAACGTTTGAGCCTTTCCTTTACAGGTGCTCGTAGAACGTTCGATTGTGTTCAAAACGTGTGAGCAGATCTGTCACCGAAGACAATCGGTTCGATTATACAAGTTAGCCCGTCCCCAATTTCACGTCCTGTACGTCTCTTAACGAATCGTTTTACCACCGGGACCACAGGTGTCTTCGCGTCAAACTACACAATATCACGATACGTTACGAATAATTCGTAACGTAGCATAATAACATCATACAATTATTGTATGATATTATTATCGGAAGAATATTTGCTTTTTGAAATAGGAGTTGACGTCGAGACTCGAATTTTCATCGGAACGGATCACTACGCGCTCGATGTACATGCACATCGGAAATACGATATTATACGCGTGCACCGTTTCGTCTGTTAAATCTGTTTCTACTGGTTCAGGTCTCCGTTTCTCCCGTCAAGTGATTATACTACAGTTTATCGTAAAACGGATCGTAAGTAAGGCAAAAAAAAATTTTATTTTTTTTATTTTCTCCCCCTTCGCAGCGGACACGCCTCAACCGAACCGATGCAGACACCGATCGAACCACCGCAATATAATATAATATATAATATACGATCGATTCGTATATTATAAGACTGCGCACACCTGTAGCTGCTACTGAATCATTGGCTCCTTGACCGTTTCGATTCCCGTTCGAACGGTTGCACGGCAGCCAATTCGGTAACATCCGTAAACTATGAACCCGAACCGTATGTTACCTGTATGTTATTTTATGGGTAAAGTTGAATCGCAATTATTTCCGTCGAATCGCGCCCGGGATAGAAAAAAATAAGATAAAATTAATAAAAAACTACAACATAAGTTTTCAACGAACAAACAATAATGAAATTGATTGAAATCGTTACATTATAATATGAAAAAAGTTCTTTTTAAAAATTCATGTTTGTAATAATTATTTATGTAAAAAAAGAAAAAAAATGTTAATCCCATTTCAAAATATGAAACAATAAATCAGGTACTAAATTCGAAGAATTATTAATTGTGACAAATAAATAATTTAATGGTTTTGACAATATATACATATAGGTATGTCCACCCATTCTCAGATAACAAACCGTTACTATACAGTGTACGAGCACATTTGCGATATATTCGATTATATAATAATAATTCTACGGTGGTTCTCAAACTTTTTTGTTCACGGAGCACTTATGTTTCTAAAAATATTTCCCCAAAAATCAGGAACGTCTATTTACACCAGCAATAATGGGTACATAAAATCATATAAAATACATATCATCAACATTATCGTTAATCGATTATGAATATTTCTTAAAAAGGTTTACTTTATACATTTTTATTGATAAAAACACACAGCTCAAAATTTAATTTTTTTTTCGGTTTTGTCATTTGCTGTAAAAGCTAAAGAAATTTTACCTTGTATTGATGAATTTACTCCATTTAATCTCATAAAAAATTAGCCCGACCATGAAGTCGAATTAATCAAGTACTTTCTATAAATCTGCGTTGTAACTGAGAAGTATAATTTTAAATAATTATAAAATATTTAAATTAAATTAATTCGGATGTGTCCACGAAGCCACTGAGCTCCTGACTTCTCTCGTGGGTTCTGTTAAGCCAAATTAATCGTTCCATGAAACGTTTCAGTAATTTGGAGTACGGAATAGATTTTAGTAGGAACCGAAACGGCGGTGGCTGCGTCAAGTGGGCGAAGAAAATTGACAAAGATCGATAACGCCGGAGCATC